GTCCTCCTATCTATTTGGAGTCAACGCTGGCTGATATTTGTTTTTCGTCCAAAATCCGCCTATAGGAGGACATGCCTGACCTAAGGTTAGGCTGGGGTGGTTTGGTGGGTAGCTCACCACCTACCAAACCGCCCCGACCCGACCAGAAGGCCTCAATCTGCCCTCCACTTTCAGTGTGGGGGGGTCGGGGAACCTTGAGAAATCACATGGAACCCGTACCCTCCCCCACCCGAAATTCGGGCCTTCGGGTTGGGTTGGTTGGGTTGGTGTGGCCTGGTAGGCAGTCATGGTCTCATGTCGGGCCTGTCCCTCTGCAGGAGGAGTATTCAAAGACAGTCAAACAAACAGTCGGGGGACGACTCTTGACCATTTTGGGAGTATTTTTTGGGGTTATTTTTGGGGGTATGTTTTATATTTCGTCGAAGATCCGCCTGCAGGGGGACTTTTGGTAGGTGGATCTCTCAAGCTCTCCGCCGCCTCTGGCGGTGTGCGTTGCGAGCAGGAACACAGCAAAGCCACAGGAGAACGCGGCATTGACAGTGTAGCCCCGCGCACGTGACAAATTTTAACGAGCAGGAACACGGCAAATCCCCAGGAGAGCGGGGGCCGGGGGAATAGGTGGGTCCACTTTTGGGTTGGGGGACTAAGCAACCGTCCACGCGCGAAACTCGTCATCATCTGCACCGCTGCCATCAACCGCCACCAGCTATTTGATTGAACCGCCCCTTGAAGTCAAATTGCGCAACACGAATCACGCCAAAGAAGGGCTGGCAAGGAGGGAAGCGAGGAGGAAGACCTTTCAAGAGTAGGATGTGGCAGAGCAGCAGAAAAAAGGAAAGAGGGTAGTTGTGAGAATTGGCGATGTTACACTCGCATTGCATTGCATTGAGGTGAAATCAAGTTGCAGCGCAATCGCATTGCACTGCATTCAGGGAGGGTGGATGGGGAGAGGATGGAGAGGCGGACGGGGAAGGATTGAGGAGGGAGAGGATAGGGGTCGGAATCACCCAGTGCCGCCAAAGTGGCAACATTTCTAAAACAAGCCATAACAACATATAAACAAGCAAACATCGACAGGTCTAAAACGCATAACAAGTCAAAGGTTTCGGAACTTATGCTGGTGCAGCCGCCCCGATCACCGACCGATATTCTTTGTCGGAGCCTTGATGTTTTTTTTGTTTGGACTTGTTTGTTTCTCCCTTTGTTATGTTTATTGTTCTTAGTATTCTAGTTTTTTTAGACCCCTTCTCACTTTCCAAAGGTTCCTACACGTTCGCGGGCAATCAGACAAGCAGCGTATGATTGTGCACCCTAGAGTGGATGTGCGAGACATGTAGTATGCAAGCTTCTCAACGAACCTGATGCAGTGGTGAGCAATTACGGTTTCCGAGAGGAACGTTGTCCTTTTAGCATAGCACGGTGGTTGTTGAGCCAGCTCGGTGCAATCAACCGCTTAGTGGAGGATATCAATGAAGAGGTGAAGGGAAGGAAGGATGATATGTACAAGACGCTGTCACGGGGAGAGTCTCATCGAGGGCGCCATGAGGAACGCGGAGAGCGCCACGGCGGCATGGCGGATTTTCAGCGGCAAATCCCCCCACTGGTTTGCTATTCTGGGGAGGTCAGGGGTGAGGGCATGGGGATGGGTGAGGAGGGGTGGACGTTGCAGGGCCCCTGGGGAGAGCATATTGCGGTTTCCCCCGCTCCCCCTCGTCCATCATCTCGTCTCTATCTCCTCTTGCTTCGGCCGATCCCCAGATAGCGCAGCCACTTCGCCTGCGTCGTGTCTTGGCTCGGGGGCACGATCAAGGCGCGCTTATCCAGGCGCGAGAACATTACCTGACCACCCCTCCAGCACGGGTCGCGACTACCCGTCCAGGTCCGGTCGTTTAGATTATGGTCCTGGGGTGCCCCGGGCGTCTTCGAGGTCGAATTCGTAAACCATATCGTTCTTCCCAGAAACATACGGTTGGTAGAATATGCATGAGCACAATTGTTGACGCTTCGCGTATCCCCACCAGCCCATCCAGAAACGATGCTCAGGGGAGTTGAGGTGATCAGGGAAGTCGGGGAGCATGCAGAGTAACAAAGGGCGGGGGAAGCTGTCACAGACCCCGAGAGGGGGAGGATGGAAGAGGAGTCGTCGTCGTCGTCGTCGTCGTCGTCGGAGGAGGAGGAGGAGGAGGGGGAAGAGGAGGAGGAGGAGGAGGAGGAGGAGGACGGAGAAGGAGGAAGAATCGGAGGAGGAGGAGGAGGAGGGGAAGGAGCTTCTTGGGGGTCTTTTGAGGGCCTCTTGGAGGGCTTTTTGGGCGCCTTGGGGCATCTTGGGCGCCTCTTGGGACCCTCTTGAGGCGCTCTGGGGAGCCTTCGGGGCGCTTTTGGGGCCATCTTGGAGGGAGTCGATCAAACAAGAGGGGGGGTTTAATTAGCGTCCCCCCTCGGAAGCCCCTAAAATCGCCTCTTGGACCCCTCTTGGAACGCTCTTGGAGTGCTCTTGGGCGCTCTTGGGGCCGTCTTGGGGCTCTTTTGGGGCTCTCTTGGGGCCCTCTTGGGCCATCTTGGAGCCATCTCCAGGCCTCGGATGGCCATCGGAAGCGAAAAGGCGAGAAAGCAAAAATCATTGATTTTCCTTAGGTTTTGGGACGATTTTGGCCTCTTCGGGGCCTCCTTGGGGAGCTGTTTGGCCACTTGGAGTTATCTTGGGGCCGTCTTTGGGCTTCTTGGAACCATCTTAGGAGCCATCGTGAGCGATCTTGCGCTATCTTGAGCCATCTTGGAGCTCATCTTGGGTTCTCTGAGGCGCTCTTGGAGCCGTCTTGGGCCATCTTGGACGCTCTAACTACCCGCGGCCCCCCCCGTCCAGGTCCAGGGGAGGGGGTAGGGGGAGGGGTAAACCCCTCCCCAAGGGGGAAGAGGGAGGGGTGGAAGAGGATCTGCTCTAGACCACCTACGCCCAGAGGGCTGGTGGGATTAGTTGTCAGGGGTTGAATTGGCGCCTCGTGAGCCATGGGCCAAAGTTGCGTCAGCTCCTTCTTGGCGCTCGGCGTTTTGGGTGGGAGATTTCCTGTTTGACCGAGCTGCGTGGTGAAGCATGTGGTTGGGACGTGCAGGAGCCTACCTAGCGTCCACAGGGTGTGTCTTGAGGAGTTTTTGTTTGTTCAGTGGCACAGTGTTGGCTTCCTCCTCTTCTCTCCTTGGAAGAAATGTGGTTGGACCAGGGGTGTATACGGGTGGGCTCGAAACGTCGTTTTGGTCTCCCTTTCACGTATCAGGATCGTGAGTTTGCTGTTGCTTCTTCTTACGCTCCCCCCCAGTAGCACACATGACTGGGATGCGCGCTCTCTCCTCTTCGAGGAGGCCACTGCCTTCTCTCATACACTGGCAGGGGCTGCTGACGTCGTGATGTGGTGGGGGGGGGAGATTGGAACGGACGCATTGCCGGCGCCGACTATGAGGGTGGACGGGGGCCCCCATTGGCCACGACGGACGGCGGAAGGGAGCTCGTGCGATGGCAGGCAGGCGTCGAGCGTTTCTCTCGTTTAGACGGCTATCTGCGTTGTTCGTTTCGGGGCACGTGGCGGCGTGGCGTGAAGCATTGTTAGTGCGAGCTTGATGGTTTCTATGTTCTTTGGGGCCACGCGGGATGGACTCAGAGATTGCGTACTCGTGCTGTGAGTTTCTTGGGCCATCGTGCTAAATGTCTTGTTTTTCACGTCCCCTCGATTTCGCGCCCCCGGGGCCAGCGGCGTGCCCCTTGGGGCCATGTCCGGGGAACTGAAAGGGCCCTCCCGCTGCGGGTCGACGTTTTTCGCGGTACGTCCCCCGAGGCCCGAAAAGGCGCGTAAGTCTTTGGCTCGTGACTTCGACTCTCGTCTTCAGGCCGCCTATCCCGACGCCCCCTTGCCATTCGGCACGGCCGCCCTCCTTGATGATCCGGCGGAGGTCCAGGGTGCCGTCGTGTTCTACACGGAGGGGTCGTGCCGGGGGGCCCCCGCGCGGTTCGCAACGGCACCCTTCGGGCTGGGTGGCGTTTCGAGCGGGGGTGCAACGAAGGCTGGCAGACCCATTGTGGCTCAGTGGTCCTTTCCCCCAGGCGCCCTCATTTTCTTGGGTTCTCGGTCCAGTTGAACAACGCACGCGAGTTGTCGGCGATGTGCATGTTGTGCGTGTATTTGTGTACGCAGAACGAGCCCCCCCATGGTAACGGAGTGCGCGTTCGTTCCGACAGTATGTATGTGTTCAATCTGCTTGTGGGTGTGTGGCGACCTCGTAGTTCCTCCGAATTTTTTTTCACGTGTCGTCGGTGGCTCCAGCGAGCTCGGCCGCACTTGGACATTTGTTTCTCCCACGCGAAGAGGCACTCGGGCGATCCAGGAAATAAAGAGGCCGATCGGGGGGCTAAGCTGGGCGCTGAGGGCCCCCTATTCTCCTGGCCACTGATGCCCGACTCCCCCCTTTTCATTGATGATGAATTGGCGACGAGTCCGGATGTGTCGTGCCTTTCGCATCTTGCCCTGCTGACTGAATCAGTGGAGGCAGTTGCGGGGCGAGGGAAGCCGCGGCAGAAAGGATTGCCCTGCGCAACTCAGGATTTGAAGGTTATCGCCCAGAGGAATGAGGTAATCAGATCCAAGCTGCAGGTGTTGCGTGAGAGCCAAGATCCGGAGCGCAGTCGGTCCCTGAAGAGTGAGTTATGGTGCGCGCGTAGATCTTTGGCCCGATTTCGCAGTCGTTGCCGCGGTGTTTTCGCGCGGAAGATGTGCGACCAGATGGATTGGGCCATGTTTCTTCATGGCACTCGTGCTTTCTACCAGCTTTTTTTCGCCACTTCGGTGTCAGTCTCGCGGGCTGGCATCGCCGGGGCCATACGATTGCCGCGCATGCTGAAACCATCGGGAACGAGCCTTTCGAGTTGCCTCCGGATTTAGAAGCCATCTTGCCTTTCCTGCCCCCCCCCGGCCCTGGTCCAGTGGCAATTCGGTGGCGCCCCCTCTCCCGAGGTGCGCGGGGCCGTCGGGCGGATGAAAGGCAGCGCCAGCGGCAAGGGCGGCATCGCCATCGGCACCGTCCGTTCCGCGGGACCACGTGCTACCATGGCGGCCGCGAAGCTTGTCGCCACCGTGCGGGATGCTCCTGGTGATGCGTGGGAGCAAGAGGTCGGCTCCGCCGTTGGCGTCTTGCCTTATAAGAATGGATCCGGGTCTGATTTAAATAACAATCGTATCATCTGGTTGCTCTCGATCGTGGACCAGAATCCTGGCAAAAGTGATCGATTTGTGCCTTTGCCCCTTCGGAGAGAGTGAAGGCGTCCTGCCAGAGACGCAGTGGGGGTTCCGTGCGAATCGCTCCACGATTGGCCCCTTGTCCGTCTTGCGTATTGTTGCCGAGTGTGCGAATCGCTGCTTAGTCGCGCCAGGTGACGGGGGGCTCCGCGGCTCTGCTCGGTCACCCTCACTCTGAATGATATCTGCAAGGCTCATCCCCGTGCCCCGCGTACGGCGGCTTGGGGGATTTTCGAGCGCAAGGGCCTCCCCCCCGGATGATTTCTGTCGTTGGTGGTTTGCTCTCGTCCACTCGGTGCCAGATTCGCGCGAAAGAGGGCCTCGGCCGCCCCTTCGAGATAACCCGGGGCCTCCGCGAGGGGTGCCCATCGAGTTGCAGTCTGATTAATGTCTTTCACGCTGCCCCGCTTGCCGCGTCAGAACAGCGGGTCCGCTCCCTCCCGGCGGTGAGTGTTTGAATGGCGGCGTGCCCTGGCCGCCCGCCTTCCGGGGCGTCCCGCTCTGTCCGGCCTCGCGATCGTGCCGCGGCAGTGACCTCCGCGCTCCTGGACATGTTTTCCGCGGATGACACATCGGTCCTCGGTGCCCCCGGTCGGGCCGAGGATTTTGAAGATCTTTTGGTTCAGACACTGGCGCTTTTCGGAGAAGATGTGCACCCCGGCAAAATAGAGCGCTTGGCCCTCGGTGGCCCCCCGCTCAGCACCCGGGAACGCGCGTCCCACGCTCGCTTCCTCGGTGGGTGGCTTCAGCCGAGTGGGACTCATGATGTGGACGCGTCCGAGGCATTGGAGCGCGCGGAGAAGGCTTGGCGTAAGCTGTATCGCCAAGTTTCCCGGCTGCGGCTCCCACGCAAGGCGCTTGGGCAGCTCTTCCGTTCGGTTGATCTGGGCGCCCTGTCGTGCTCGGCGGAGGCTCGAGGGTTCACGTCGAAGCATTTGGATCAGAATCAGGTTTTTGATTACTAGTGCGTGCAAGGCCTCCTGAAGCAGAGGGCCCTGCACATGCGCGACGATGAGCTCGCCGTGGTTGACTTGTGGCGGCGTTGGTTTGATTTTCATCCGCGTGGAGATTAGCATCCGCCAACTGCGCTGGATGGAGATTAGCATCCGCCAGCTCCGCCAATCCTTCTTCTCTCGCAGTGCACGAAGGCTTGGCCGGGCGGCGCGACTGCGGCGGCTGCCGAGAGCATCTTCGCTAAGCAGGTTGCCAATTTAGCCGCGTGCTTCAGTGACTGCCGCCCAAAGTGCCCGAAGCCCTGGGATGGCCAGAAGTGGGTGTGGAATTTCTATACGTGCGCGCCTATGCCACTGACGGGGTTCGGGCCTGCGTCGCCGCCATGGTCGGCATGGAGGCTGGTGGTATAGACTTCTAAATTTCTCGGGTCTCGGCCAGCCAGCAGGAGCGTGACCTTTGGGGCGCCTTGCGCTGGCAGCAGGGCGACTTCCGATCTGCCTCCCAGTCGCGCTTGTTGGTGCATTTTTTCTTGTATTTCTTGGCGTATCTACGCCCGCCGGGCTATCTGGCCGTATTAATTCGTGTCAGTCTTTCTTCCAGAATTACGTGCCGCTCCTCCAGGGAGTCTTTTTCATAGTTCAATCTACATCACATGTGCACAATGATGACCTCGCAGGCGTGGCCCGCCGGCGGCCCGTCCAAGTCGGGCAGGGGGCCGCCGGCCACGTTGGGGGTGGGCGGCATTGGCGGGGGGTGCCCACCGCGCCTCGACAGCCGCTCTGCCCTCGCGGGTAGCGGCCGCCGCGTCCCCGGCCACCTGGGGGGCGCCGACATTCTGTTCGGAGGGGGAGGCTGCCTTCAGCTTGCCGCCGGCGCAGGGCCTCGCCAACAGCCTCCCGCATATGTACAAGACAAGACAGTACCTTGGCAATTGCTGTCTTCTGTTTAGATTGTTATTCTATGGTACGTCATTTTGTCTGTGGGTGCATGAGACGCAATCATTATCCCAAGGGCGGGTCATAGTGTAAAGAGGCAGGAGGACGATGGGTGAGAGAGACAAGGGAAGGCAATCTGTTGGAAATTGTTGCCTTCTGCGGGGATGGCGCTCCAACTGTTGCCTCCTGATGGAATGGGCGTCCTCTGTGTGTAGCGCAGTGATCATTACAAACAAGGTCGTCGAATATAATCAGTCGCGGCTTCAGAATCAATTTGACTGAACCCCCCCCCGGAGGGAGGAGGTGGAAGGGTGCATCATCATACGCTGCTTGTCTGATTGCCCGCGGACGTGTAGGAGTTTTCTAGAGTGAGGAGGGGTGTTAAATCTGAAAAACAACACAAGCAACCAAAATAACAACATACAGGTCAAAACAACCAAAACATCAAGGCTCCGACAAATAATCTCGGTGATCGGGGCGTCTGCGCAATGATAAGTTCCGTACATAGACCTGTCCCCTCCCTCCTCAATCCTTCCCCGTCCGCCTCTCCATCCTCTCTCCATCCACCCTCCCTGAATGCAGTGCAATGCGATTGCGCTGCAACGTAATGGCATCTCCATGCGATGCAATGCGATTGCGCTGCAGCGCAATGCGATGCACAACAGCCAGCGCAGCGTCCGTACGAGCAGACCTCCAAGAAGCACGGGTGGGCCCGCCTGCTCCCCCCTACTTCGGCGCGCGGGGCATTGACAGCGTAGCTCAACGCCGACGCGGTGGTGGCCGGGGAGCCCCCGCGACGTGTCCACGAGCGTTGCCCCGCCCCCGCGGGGGTATGGACAGAGGGCGCGCCCGACCTGACGGTCGGTCGGCGCCGCCCGCCTCGACGGCCTTCGGCGGCGGCCCGAGGGTGGCGGCCCGAGGGCGGCGGCGCGCCCGGGCCGCGGGCGCCGCGTGCCCCTTTTTGCAGGGCTCGCGTCGATTCCTCCGGCTCGGTTTCGATTCGATCTCGGCGGCTTCCGATCCTGGTTCGATGCGATTCGAGGCGGGCGTGTCCCTCGACAGGGGGAGTATTCAAAAACATGTCAAACATAGTACGGGGACGATTTTTCCATCATTTCTGATTATCTCGGGTATTTTTCGGGAGTGTTTTTTAGTTTCCGCCCAGAATCTGCCTGTAGGGGGACATGCCCGACCCATGATCCGACTTGGGATTCCGATTTTTCACAGGCGAAGAGCGGTATGGCATCAACTTTTCCGCCGTCGGGGGGGACGACTGTCCCAGGGTTGCTGGGAAGTTCACACCTCTGCGGTGGCACCGTAATTAGGGGCATCTATTTTCCAGCTGCCCAGGGGCCGGCGTCCCCGACGGCGGAAACATTGTTTTTATTTCGCCCGCTGGGATTTGGGTGCCGAGTTCTCATTGGAGACACACTGGCCTGCCCGTATCCGCCGATTCGCCTTTCTCGGCTCGGCCGCCGGGTTCCGCCGATCCAAGGCGTTTCGGTCGCCGGTCCGACTTGTCGATTCGGTTTGGGGCTCCCCTGCCCATGATATCTCAGGAGGGAAAGAAATACACAGACACAAATTAATCGGCGATTCCCAGAAAATATGGGAAAATATGGAAAGTGGGGGGGAAGACAGAAACCTAGAAAATATGGGAAAATATGGGGAATATTTTTGTTTGTGTGTATTTATTTGTGTGTCCTGGGGTCCCTTCAATATCACAGACATCTCGTTCGAGGATTGGTGGCCCGCAGGGCGTGTGTCAGCCCAAATCGGTGCTTGCCCCGTTCGGCTCCACCACATGGACCCTCGCAGCTCCTGCGTGGTGTCGGAGAGCTTCGACAGGCAAGCGCTGGCACATGTCGAAGAAGAGGAAACGGCAGAAACATAAACTTTGGACGCTCCGCGCGGATCTCTTGGATTAGTGCATCGCGAAGAGAACATATTCAGTCACCTTTCTATGCTTTGGACGATATGATCCTCCCAGATTCGGCGGCGAAATCCGAACACCGCCCTCGCCGATCAACGATTTAGGCAATCCGGTGGGCGGCGTGGATAGGGTTCGGAGTTCGTCGAACACATGGCAAAATCCGAACCCCGCCCCCGCATCCCATCGATTCAGGATAATCGATGGTTCGTGGGGGTATGGCGTATGGTTCGGATGTTGCCACCCGGGTCCGAGTAGATGGAGTCGGAGGATCGCGCGCCGCATCGGCCATTCATCGGCGATGCGGCTCGATGCTGAGCCCGATTTTCGCCATGCCGACGGCGCCGATGCATCGGCGGTGCGTTGCGATCCCCCGACCTCATCTACTTGGACCCCAGCGAGAGGGAGGTCGGATAGCAAATGATACCGGAGAAAAAATCCAATCCGATTTTTTTAATCTTCCAATTGCTCGCTTTGTAATCGGCTGGAGCGGCAGGCACCAATGGGCTATAGGGCTATCGGGCTATAGGGCTATCGGGCTATAGGGCTCTCGGGCTATAGGGCTCTCGGGCTATAGGGCTCTCGGGCTATAGGGCTCTCGGGCTATGGGGCGGGCTATAGGGCTATAGGGCTATCGGGCTATAGGGCTCTAGGGCTATCGGGCTATAGGGCTGTAGAGCTATATGTTTGTGACCTATAGGGCCATAGGGCTATAGGGCTATGGGGCTATAGAGCTATATGGGGTATGGGGCTATAGGGCTATAGGGCTATAGGGATATAAGGCTATTAGGGCTATAGGTATATATGGCTATAGGGATACAGTGCTATAGGGCTATACGGTTATAGGGCTATAGGGCTATAGGGCTATAGGGCTATAGGGCTACTGGGCTGTTGGGCTATTGGGCTATTGGGCTATTGCGCACCCCTGGGCACCCGGGCACCCCCGGGCCCCCGGGCCCCCGGGCCCCCGGGCCCGGCCACCGAAATCGGCTACGCACCTCACCGGCCACCCGGGCACCTGGGCACCGCCGGGCACCCGGGCACCCGGGCACCCG